CAACGCTGGATTAACCGTGCAGACCCCCACTGCTCGCTTAACTCTCTGCAAGAGCTGTGTGGTACGGCTGCCCCGTTCCCACACGCTGGCATTCCCAGGCTCCGGCAGGTATGTCACTTGGTTAAAAATACACAAATGCATTCAAACTGGGCCACACAAATCATTAACCCAGCACATTTCTACCACAGCGTTCACCAGCCAGCTACCTCATGCTGTAGCAGACTCGGAGCGTGCCCGTCCCTTGGCTTAGCCCATCTCCCACAAGCCTGAGTAACTGCCGGCAGCTGGAGCGATGCCCACGTTTCCAGCAGCATTGCTGACTCCTTAAAGCCTGTCTTTTGCTGCACTGCATTTGAAAACTGAGGATTCAGGAGTATTAAAAATATTTCAGCTTCTTCATCATCTTTACTTTCTTATGTATTCCCCTCTTGTTCAGTTAAGACCCAGCCCTTTGCTTACTTACAGTACAGCTGGAGCACAGATGCAAGGGCTTTTTCTGATTCCCACCACCTCCCGTTCCTGCCATCCTCCAGCCTCTTCATGGTTTTAGCTCAGTCTTTTACAACAGTTTAAGCTCAACTCACCTCTCCATGATGCTCTCAAGCAAACTCAGCGTGTGTCATTCCCCCCCTGCTACTTGGCAGTGATTGAAAACAGCCCACCCCCACCTGCTAGGTGGAGCTGGGGTTATACTCAGGGTGTAAGTGGGAGAGGAGACACAAGGCTCCAAGTGTGATTCACCTTGGAGCAGGTGAAGTCAGTGGTTGAGGTGATGGATTAACTCGTACAAGCTGGAGCAGGCGCCTCAGTCGCAGCTGCCAGCATCAGGGGTAACCCCACAGGTGTGGCAGAACCAAAGAAATCGCTTTGTATCTGTTCCCTCCAAGCAGGGCTGCTAATACAATTAAAAATGCCCCAGACGAACTCCACAGGAACTCTTTGGATGAACTCTTGCTCTCTCCATTTTCACCTGCGAAGCAGCACTCCCTCCAGGGCTCACTTCAACCTGTCTTTCAGCGTTTGCCAGGGGAGAAAATACCCTGCTGCAAAACTTTTATGAAGGCTTTGACTAAGAAGTGACTAACTGGGAGGGAAATGGATTTGTGTGCTCCGGGGGTTTGTTTTCCATGTCCACATAATTGCTTTCTGAAAACGTAGACCACGCTCTCTCCTGGGCATAGTGGGAGCATGTTCTGGTTCACTGGGTTTGCCGCGTGCTTTGTGCAGAGTGGCTGAATGGCTATTTACATGAAAATAGTATTGCTGAGCATTTAGTTCTAACCATTTTGTACTTGGTACAGCCATCTGGAATCAAAATATTTCGAGAATTATTACAGATGCTCTTGCATTTGAGTCTCAAAAACTCTTAAAATATAAAACTCTTACATCCACTCTCTGGAGTTGCCAAACTTTTTCCACACTTCTGTTATTAAGCAATCCTGTTATTAAGCAATCCTGTTATTAACTTTAGCGGGTAGGAGACATCTTTGTGATGTTCAGCACCGTGTGCCAGAAGCTGGGCTGTCGCTGGTGGGAGCGGTGGGGCAGCCTGAGCACAGGGCTGCCCGTGCCCAGGGAGCCTCCCCCCTGCCTCCCACCCGGGCATGTGCCCTTCCCTCCTCGGCTGGCACAGCTGCAGGTTTTGAAGGATGGAAGATTGCCATGGGATCAATCCCATCACAAGGGGCTTTTTTTAATAGCTTTTATTAGACACAACTGTCTAGATGATGAGGAGAGAGATGGAGAGAGCAGAACTGGGCCTTACTTTAGTAAAATAAGATGTCAGACTTTCTATAATGGAGCTAATCATTACCCAGCAAAGCAGTACGCTCAGAGGTTGGGTTTTTTTTTTTCATTTTTAGCTTTAGTGTAATGTTCCTGAAAGCTAATAGCATCTATAATGTTGTTGCTGATTTGTTTTGCTCTATGAAAGAAGGCAGAAAATAGAAGTGCTCTATGTAGGAGGCAAAGATGTTTGTGTTTTGTGTAACGAGCAATGTGCTGCGGTAAGAAAAGCCTGCCACAGTAAACCTGCAGTCCCCTGAAAGCTGGGATTTAATCATGTGGCTAACCACTTGTGGTCTTTGAAAGGCAAGGCATCACCTTGGTGTCCGAGCACTCCGTGATTCTGGAAGCAAGGAATCCAAACAATCAATCCACACAGTCTCCCTCACCCCTTCCAGCGTACCCTGCTGCAAAACTGTGCGCACCCTGAATTCGGGTGACGGGGTGTGCAAACGCAGGCCCCTGTCTGCTTGGTACAGTTGACTGGGAGAGGGCTCACGGCAGTCACGGGGGTGAAGCTGATGAGCAGCTCTGACAGATTTTACAGAACACAGAGCAGCACAGATCATGGAAGGAGGCAGGGGCAAGGAGTGTGCACAAAGTATTTGGTTTCTGAGGGCTCCCGGCACTCGGGGCTGGCACGGCTTGGGTGCTGGAGATGCCACGGTGAGACAGGCTGGAGCCACGGGAGCACGGAGCGGTGACACGGGGGTCCTGGTTTGAGCAGAGGAGAGCAAGAGAAACGAGAGGAGAGGGAGGATGTAGCGTTTGCTCCTGGTAAAGGAAACGGTAGAGGAAAGGGGAATACAGCTTCTAGAGAAAAGTTTAGCAGCTCCAATGTAATAACAGATTACTTTCCTTTACTTTCAGAAAGATGGGGAGGAGCTAGTCTCGTGCTGTTAAATAGCAGACCCCACACTTGGGATTTGCCATGGCAAACACTCCAGCCTTAACACTGAGTTCAGCCGAGCCCGAGGCTCTCTGGCTGCGCGGCCCAGGTCACAGCTCGCACCGTGTGCTGGGAGCTGGGGGAGCATCGCCTGAGGTACCAAACCCGGGGGGGCACAGGGGAAGAAACCCATCTTTGAACATCACCATCTATTCAGTTTTGTGGATGAGCACGTGTAGGATACAGGAACATAACTCCGAACCTTTTTTTTTTTTTTGTGCCAGACAAACCTCACTTCTGATAAATTTATTAGAAGCTTTTATGTGCTCATTTAGCATCAGATTTTCTCTCTCAGAAATGACATAGATGGGAGGGCAGCTGCGTCCGTGTGTGTTTGAGGTGGTGCTGGTGGTCGTGCTGGTCCTGGCTCTCCCACGGCTGTGCTGCTGTACCCAAGCCCTGGGGCAAACCCGTGTGTGAGGGGGGACGGGGTGGGGTGCTGGCCCCCTCCCCTGTGCCCCACGCCTCTTGGCTTTGCTTCCAGCCCCAGAATCCCAGCGGCTCTGCCTGCAGCAGGGCTGAGCCAGCTGGGCTCTCACCTAGTGAAAATGACACTTTGGGCCATGAACATTAGTGAAATTAATTCTAAAAATTTGCTACAATTACTTTTCAGTTACTGACCGAAAGAGATACTGAACAACTGCACCCACTTGATTAATAGCAAACACTTACTACAGGAACAGACACTAATACTAATCTTCTATTTTACTGTGTCAAATGCAGATAATTATTCATCATGGATCCTATTTATATATCCACATACTAAGTGAAAGAATGCTTTCATCCCGGTTTTATCATTTCTGATAAATCAGGTTTTCTGTTTCCTCCAGTCAGCAGCTCAGCCCCACAATTTGCTCTCCAAATGGCAGGCAATTCTTTTAAGCACATTGAATTATTTTTTCCAGGTGGTGATTCGGTTGAAAATTAAATGTTACCCTTTCACATTGCTCAGTAGTACAGCTGTAGCACACAAAGAAAGATGACAACTTTAATATTCCAGCTAACTTGAAAAGTAGGATTTAAACAGAAGACTGTCTAAATCCAGCCGTGTTATTTATTTGGAGTAAGCACTGACACCCAGCACCCTTTTTTTTTTCCTCAGGTGAGGATGTAGGGAGCACGGGGAGGAAGGCGAGGCCGCAGGTCAGACAGTGCCACAGACTGATGAGCATCTCCTTTGTGTGAGCAAACGTGGAGCAGAGAGGGGAGGGGAAGGCAAGGAGAGTGTCTCCTACCAAAGAGGCCACGCTGCCAGCACCTGGCACTCCCCTCCCTGGCTCTGAGCCCCCGTAACTAGACATTCATCGCCGTTTGGCTACAACAGTAAAACGCCCTTTGATCCAACAGAGACTTCACTACCCCAGTATTAAACTGAATGATTAGTTCCTATGAAATCTTTCCCTTCCCTTTACTTTGTCCATGTAGGGTCAGTTAAAATCCAACACTAATGTGGAAAAACAGAGGAAGGTCAAATTAGTCTCTACCAGTAACAGTTCATCAGATAAAGTCCAGCAGGAGAAGCCACATAATCAGGGGCTGTGATGAGTGAAATGTGCACAGATGGGCAAAAAATAAAAAAAAAATCCAAGATATTTTCTTTGATAAATGTAGAGCAAATAGCTCAGGTCCTTTGATTTGGCAGGACCCACATGCACTGAAGCACCAATATTTTATAAAATCCACATTCTGTAATTTTGCAATGGGAAAGGGACCTGTGCGAGAGATTAACACACAATAAACCCATGTTTATGAATCTGCTTTATTAGCCCTTAATCCGAGATGCTGCTCAGTCTAACAGTGGACCAACAGTGCCTCCCGATGATCAGAAGTGTAACTAACTCTTTCAGGTTCATGTATTTACTTGTCAGAATCTCCTTTTGTTTGTCTCCGATAGCTCATGTATTATTTTGATCACATCTCAGTGGATCTCTCTGCCAAGAAAGCTTTAATAGCGAACTCCAAAATTAAAAGACTAGCAAAGAACCAGCATAGATCTATCCCCCGCCAGACTATTCCGTTCTTAATTTATAAGCAAAAAACCTCAGTGACAACAAGACCCGAAACACGGATATCGAAGACCCCACGATAACCTGAAAATAGTGTTGAAAGTGTTCCCATTACCGCAGCCGTGACCATATGTAATACACAGCGATACACATAATGTCTCAGTTAAGCACACAGGTATTGCTTTTCTTAACCGACTGTGAAAATTATTCACCAAGTAAAATTAACGTTTTCCTCCTTCTCTGCCATCCTGAAACAGGTCCCGATTGTTTCAGTTCTAAGAATCTCGCCCTGCAAGCTCAGAAAAAGATCCTGAGTAAAATGGCCACCAAAACCATGGCTAACATGCTGATCGATGACACAAGCAGCGAAATCTTCGATGAGCTGTACAAAGTAACAAAGGAACACACAAGAAATAAAAAGGAAGCCCATAAAATTATGAAAGACCTGATTAAAGTGGCAATAAAAATCGGGATCCTCTATCGAAATAATCAGTTCAACCAAGAAGAGCTGGAAATCGTAGACAAGTTCAGGAAGAAGCTGAACCAAACTGCGATGACAATTGTCAGTTTCTACGAGGTAGAATACACTTTTGACAGGAATGTTCTTGCAGAACTTCTGAATGAATGTAAAGACCTTGTGCACGAACTAGTAGATCGACACCTGACACCAAGATCCCACGGGCGCATCAACCACGTCTTCAATCACTTTGCGGATGTGGAATTTCTAACTGCCCTGTACAGCCTCGACGGGGATTGTCGGCCATACCTCAAAAAGATCTGCGATGGAATCAACAAACTACTTGACGAGAAAGTCCTTTGAAACAACGCTCAAAACCAAGAAACCCAACCAAAAACTTCTCTGGAGAACTGGCCACCCTTCATGAGCCATGGTGAGCAAGCGAGCTTCCTTCCCATCAGCCTCCTGCTGCAGTCTCCAGCAGGGGCCAGAAGGTGCTCACCAGGCTCATGATGAAGTGGAACACTTCAACCCGAAAGCTATCAATTTTAATGTTGTGTGCAGATAACTCAGTCTTTTCCGAGGAGCGGAGTGAACAAGGCTGCTGATATATATTGTTCAGAAACAAGATTGCTATACACTATCCTCTTACTAGCTTTGTGTTCGAGGTTGAACATGTGAAAAGAAAGTAAATTCAAAACGCATGGCTATGTAGAAATAGACAGGTGAAGGCAAGAGAGCAACGCATGGACTCTACCACCCCCAGGCCCTTGGTGCGTCCTGTTTTTCTTATTTCCACGCTAAACTGAAAAAGCTTAGACAGAAAGTAGGGCTGTAATGGATTAAGCTCCCTCATTTCAAAAGGATCAGTAATCAATGTGAGAAGGCATCTGATTTTACACGGTGTTTTAAGTCTAATAGGGGAATAACAAGTAATACAAACCAAGTAGAAGTGGGAGGAAATTTTAAGAACTGCCCTGTGAAGCAGTATTTTCATTACAGAGTTTTGGTTTATACCCAGTAACAGAGAGAAGGTTTCATTTTAATTTTGAAAAGCAGCTCAGTGATTCAAGCTCAAAAAGTAACCAGAAAACTACAGTACTACATCAGGTTTGCATATTTGGCAACATCAGACAAGTTTTAAGCTGAAGATTGTGCTGCTCTTTGTGCTCTTACTGTTGTGCCTGACAGAACAAAAATATTCTTTGTGAAGATTTTTGAAATTGCACTTGTGAAGACACCAATGGATGGACAAAGCAAGGCTTACATCCCCCTCCCCCCTTCCCCTCAAAATATTCAGCCTAGATAAAACTCTCGGTTTAATGATGTTAATTTGTGCCTACAGTAAAACAGAGGTGTGATAAAAAAAAAAAAGTAACCCCAGCCACTGTGCTCACAGGGCCTCCAAGTGTAGTACAGCCACAGCAGTCTTGAGAGAGGACAAGAACAGCCTTAGTGACTCTGGGGAGCTTCAGGAATGATTTTTTGATCAGAATGTTTTCAGTGACTTCTTTTTTCCTTCTTTAAGCAAAATATACTGCTGTCTTCAAACTGAAAACATTTTGCCAAGAAATATTGGTTTCTGTAGTTTCGTTTGAATGAAGGGAGGATGGGGAGCAGATACACCAGCTTGCCACAGCAGCATCCTGCAGCTGGGTAGGTGCTGACTGGCTCTAATTAAGGGAATTATGTTCATCTCTCCTCTCCGTGCCCCCCACATCTTGTTCTCCAGACTCACCCCTAGCTACTGACGCCTCAGTATCATGTACCATCCCCTTTTAATTGACACGGACAGCAATCCATCCCAGTATCTGGAGGGAAGCCCTTCCTTATCACATGTATTATAATGCAGAGCTGCGTGTACTTGAAAACTGACAAAAAGACAAGAAAATACATTTGAAAGTTGTTCCTCTCTAAGGAAAAATTTCCAGTGTTGATCATTTACTATTTTAGGGTAAGAAAAGTTTCTGTTTCTCATTTAAATACTACGGTAGTAGAGAAAACCGTTCAGAATTTTACTGTTCTCTCTTTTCTCACTCCAGAATTAACTCTATTTTATCTCTTGCAACAACAATTTTGACTACCACACCTTCAACACAGCTCAGAGAGCACTCACACCCAAACCAGGTGTTCGCTTGGGCTGTGCTAGATGCATTTTTATTTGTTCCCAGGAGAACTCATTTTGGAGCCCAGTAGAAATGGCAGCGCAAGACACAGCAGCAGAGCAGTTTGTAACAACATAAATTTTCCCCACCTATTTCTTTTAACTATATAAAAAAAAAATAGCGTATTTAGTAGCAAGGAAGATGGACAATTCCTTTGCAACACAGCACAGTAACGAAACACCCACATTTGGGGTTGCAGGTTCAGCCGTTTGCAGAGCCATATTTACATGCACCGTTAGCTGCATTTTTTCCAAGCACGTACTTGTCAACTGATGCTTTTGAACAGTATTTATTGTACCCAACACTCCTGTCCCAGTGCACATGTCAGATTTTGCGTGTTTGTTTTACTTGTGGCAAACAAATTTGGTTGTTTTTTTTTTTTTAAAGCCAGGAAAAGAGATTATTGAACATTCAAGATGGGTAAAGGAAAGGATAATCCTGTATCTGTGACTTTCTTTTTGTGTGTTGCAAGTTATCAATATTCAGATTCTGGTATTTTAGACACACCAGCTGAACATCTGTTGTTTTATTTATAAATCTGAGTAGCCTTAAGGAAAGAGAATGTTTTCAAGTATTTCTCATACTTGCATATCCTGTATATTCATTGTTTACTTTTGTACTTGTAGCTTGGTATGTAATAACATTGCTAAACTATGGGCAATGTTCAGGTCACCTTAAGTATATGATGTATTATCATATTTGTGGATTAAAAAAAAAAATGTGTGATTACTGCCCTTTTTGATTCCTTTTGATTTATTTATTCTACCATCCCCTGTAAACTGAAATTAAGCCTGGAAGATGGACCAGCAGCCTGTGGCAGGGCCAGAGCAGATGGAGCTCTCTACCAAGCACCTTCTCGCAAGTTTTCCACGCTGTATTTAGCCCAGTGTGATTTAAATTCGACAGAAGACACATCCCTGACAGATTTCAAATCCCTGTCCTAAACATGGAGATGTTGAAGCATTCTGGTAGGTTCCAGCAATAGCACACACGTATTCCCCTATCCTTATTCCCAGAAAAGGCAAAATGTTTTGGCTGAAAGAGCTCAGGATTTGCCAACAAGTCACATGGCAATTACACTGGAAGCAATTAAAGATTGGCACAAAGAGAAAACTGTCAACTACCTTAAAATAAAAGTTGAAAGCAATCTTCCTAAGTGGTGCTTCGAGCCTCACTGCTGCTAAAACACTGCTGTCAGGTTAATTTTATGAATCGTATCATGGCAGGACACAATGCACTTTGCTTCATCACTGCCAAATTTACGTAATAAAAATTTTACTGTTCAAGAAACTCCCAAGGGAGTGACCACTTCTGGCATTCTAATGAAATTGTACATCACACCGAACACGTAATATTATTTATGTTAAAGAAACATTCTCACAGGAAGGCATATAAACACGTGGCCCTGAAGAGAACCAAGAGGTAAAGCACAACTAACTCTCCTCGCAGCAACAGAAATGCAAAAGCAAATCTTCACTGTTATGACTTAAGCAGGTCTACTTCCATTTTTACATGCCTCCATGCCGAAAAAAGACAACGCAGTCTTACCCACACAGAGAAGATAATAAATACATCTTTTTATGCTGAAAAACTACTAGTGGGACTCTATAGGAGATACCTGCCTTTCCAATATTCAGAAACCATCAGGCAGTGTCATTTATGAGCTACTTGCACATACAGGAGAACCTCAAGGCAGTGCCACCCATGACACAAGTTTGTTCTCTGGGGTCCTTACAGGATGAGAAGGGGTTGGGAACAACCAGCAGAAAGGCATGTAACACAACAGATGTGATTGATGTTTAGGAAAACATACTGCACACCATGCTGCCCTTGCACGAATTTTCCTCCCGAAGTGTTTCATTAAAAATATCTGAAAATACCCGACACCACAGTTGAAATCAGGATCTAATACAATCACTTACCTGCTGACTCCAAAATGCCTGGAACTCCGAGTTGCCCGTGGCAGAGAGCAGTAAAGCAGTGGCATCTCCCGGTACCTAAGGTTTTGGTCCGAAATGCCGTCAGCCTGCCAGTTCAGACAGGTCAGGATATACCCTGACTGGCCTCTGCTTGCCTCTTGAAAGTAAACTTCTTCATGTTAACTGGATTATGTGCTCTCTTCCTTTTAGCCTCCTTCTATGCACCTGATTTCCCTTTCCCTGAAAGCAGGTTAAACCTTCAAGATCTACTAAGCCACAAAGAAAATGGAATACCACAGAAGATGAAGATATCTGCTAAAGGATTTTCAATACAGAGCTAGAGGAAAAAAAAAAAATATTCTTTTGCGTAATTACTTACGCAGCTGTATTTCATTTTAGAGACAACTGGATAATGGATCAAGATCAGAGGGATCCCCAGCACTGAGCTGCTGAGGTTCTCAAGGGCCTCAGCTGCCCACGAGGCAGAAGTGCAGAGCAGGCTGCGCTCGTTACACCCCGACAGCCTCACGATTTAGACCAGGGCTGCAACCACCTTCATGCAGCGATGATATCCAACTGCCTCGACTCCCAACTCCTTCCCAGTGCTACAGCAAACGGCGTGTTACGTCAGCATCGGGCTTAAAAAAACACTCTATTGCTGTCAAATACGAATAAAGAGAAACGCTCAAGTCTCCCGTGATGCCTAAATACAAGCCTCACAATCCAGCAGTACTCCAAAAAGATCGAATAATGTGAGCTGGCACGGCACCAGTGGATTCCAGACTTTTGCAATGTTACGTTGTTTATCACTGTTCAGATGGCAAAGAGAAACAATTGGAGTAGAACACAGTTCTGAACATGCAGAAACACTGCTACGGGGGGTAGAAAAGAATATTTAACAAGCATCAAGCTATTTTATTTTTTTTAAATGAAACTGAATTTCATTAAATACAAGAAATGCAAAGATGGTGACTAAGAAAAACATCTGCTGGGCAATCTAAAAATAAAGACACAGGTACAATTCCCTGCAAAGTCCTTTATGTGATGTTAACATAAAGCTCTGTGATTCTGCATACTGACAGCTCAACGTACACTATCCATACGGTGAACAAGGTTATAAAGAACATGAATAGAAGGCAATATTGTCTTTTGCTGTTCTTTTTAAACACTAGAACATTTAACATCTCATCGCTGAAATGGTTTAAATGCATAGGCCACAAACAGATACTTCTATTACAGTTCATATGATGGCAACAGTCCCATTGCGTAACACAGATCTGATTTACCAGCAGGGAAATAGCTCGCTGGAAATTATCCCACTATAAATCAGTTTTCATTTATATAAACTGTCATGAAGTGCCAAGTAAACATTAAAGTATGCAGAACATTAAGTATATTTACAGGTTCAGTGCAATTCCTCAGTAAGAGGGTACTGAAACAGCAATAAAATATGATTATACTCGTGATAACACAAGTGGCTCGACAAAAAAAAAAAGAAAATAAAACCTATCAGCACATTAACTTCCTCATGATGATGTCATGAACATCTACCAAAACATTAGCAAAGTAACAGAATACCTTTTTTTTTTTTTTGCTTTACAATCAGTGTTTATCAGGAGAGAAACAGTAATGCTGAAATGTAACAAAGAATTTCCTTATCCCTGCTAAACACATAAAGAATTCTACTGTAGAAGCCATTTATACCACATCTGAACCGTGTACACAATCTTTGATGTTTTTAAATAAAAAACACAGCCAGTTATAAATAATATTAAACAGTGTTAAAGCTTTCATTTGAGCATCTAAATAAAGCTTAGTGGATTTTGAAGACTGTGAGGTTTCAGGAAGGAGACAATTGAGACAGACGTTGACGTGTGCTGCTCTGACTTAGATCCCCCTCCTGCCTTACTGCAGTTCCCAGCCACGCACTCACAGTAACAGCCACACCTGGGCAAGTCAAAGGTTTGAAGAGTCATACCGAGGCTAGAAATAATTAGGAGTGAAAATAAATTAAAATTTCCTCCATGTCAATTTTCACAGAGAGAGATATTGGCCAAATTTTTAGGATTGACTGGAGAGCAACGAACATGTCCAGTAACCAGCTACTAACTAGTGAATGTGTCCACAGCCAACCACCCCCAGGCCAGTCACCTCAGGCTCGATCCACGTCAAACTAGTTCTTTAGACATGCACAAATATTCAGTGACTGCCAGAGACCCCTAAGGAAAGGGAACGTGACTGAAACATGAGGCCCTCCCACCAAAAACCTATTTAGATGTTACCACCTAAACGGGAAATACCGAACACCACGGGAAGTGTCTTGCTCACTAAAATCTTTTTAACAATATTCAAAACATGCATTTGTTGCTACATAAGTTACTTTATACAACCACTAATACAGGTCTTGTTGCCAGCAGTGCTTAAAAATAGCTTTAGAAAAATTATTAAAATAAAACCACGTGTTCTGGAAAACTGATCAAGTCTGACCTCATAATGGAGATATGTTTTATTTAAAATCATATTTAAGTAGTTGCTATGAGGAGTAGTTGTTGGCATCTATAAAAGCTGCATAATAAAAATAAATACTTTCAGTCATTTACAACAAAATTAAGAAATATACATTTCACTTAAACAGGTAACAATACTTTAATGGATTGCTTGTTAGTCACTGTACAGTCCTGAGCATGTTTTTGCAGGAGTCATTTAGGTTGTTCTTTCCCCTCAAGTCCACAGGACATATGCCAGCTGGAAGAAAACTTTTTTATACTTCTGAGCAGCAGTTTATTAATTTAGCTTTGGTACTTATCTGTGCAAGTCTTTGATTAGCTTTTCACACACCAAATGATTAAGGCAGGCACTACTGTTACTAGGATTCCTCCATCACCTTTTGACACTGATAAAGCAAACCATCTGGAAGAGCAGCACAAGGTGACCTGAACCACAGAGCCAGCATCCCTGAGTGAGTACGACAGTGCAGCAGGCAGGGCACGGATGGGAGCAGCTGGCACGCCAGTATTCCCTCATTACCTTAAAACAAAAGAGGCCACAGAAAAAATTAAGTAACAATTAAATAATGACAGCTATAGTGCAGTTCACAAAAAAACATATCTGTGTCTCGAACTCCCTTTCTGTTGTTCTCTTCTACTTTCACCCCTACTCCTCTAACACATCGCCAAAACCCACACCTCACAAATGCAACCCCATATAGCTTCATTCCCATTTTTTTGCCCTGTCCAAAACTCTTCACAGGCAAAGAGTTTGCTCCCTTGTAGAATTTACTGTCTGCTGTACACTTGTTCCTTCACATCACTCTTCACATGCATCCCTGAGTAAGTCAAATACAGTCCAGAGGATAACAAGCCCGTGTTTACTATGCTGCTAAACATTCCCTGCCTAAAACTCTCCAAGATACCTGCTTCCATGCACTTATCTTCCCGGGAGAAATTACAGGTTGTGAGCCACCTTACAGCGTACTTCCACTCACCTATAGTGTCAACTATATGGAGTTTCAGCTTTTGCTGTAGTGTACTCATAGCTGCTGAAAGGGAATCTTGAGAAGATGACAGTTTTATATTCTGTTTCACATCATTGGAAAGGGATAACCACAGCTTCCCAAAGTCTTCCGTAGTCATTTCCATTGGTCTAAAAAATAGGTTCACCACATATCTTAGCAAAATGCGTTATTCAGAGTATACGTGTCTCAAAAAAATGACGTGTGGGAAAAAACTGAACAATAAAGCAAGCAATAAGCAAATACACATTGTTTAAACAAGACCCTTCTCTTCCCAGTTTAGCATTTTAAAAAAAGTTTCTGTTCCTTGCTTTAAATTTTTAAATTTCTAAATGTAAAAAATAAAAAACCAACATTATTCTATGTAAATGGAAGACCAAAGTGAATGGCGTTGAGATATCTGCTCACTGAAAGCAATTCAACAAGTTCAGTGAGATGCAGGCTTTATTATGGAAAGCACGGTGGATTTCACTATAAAACAGAAAATTCTACCGGAAAAAGAACACTTGCTTCTTCTACTCCTGAAAGAAATGCAGTGTTCAAAAACGGAAAGAACGAGCTTTCTTCTCCTGAAAAAGTCCGTCAGCCTTTTCATATAAGGTGTGGGTCTCTACCCAAATCACCTATTTCAGTTTGGCACGTTTCTGTTATGCCGTATTTCAAATCAGCACGCCCTTCCGTTCGCTCAATCCTGTTGGCCTCCTCAAAAACACATTCTGTAGGTTCAGGACTGTTCTAACCTGCTGCTACTGTCAAGAGTCTCAGCGGCTTTATACTTCCTGGAACTCTGCCCCTTTTTCGTAAGTGTATAAATAACCATTTACTACCTTTAACAGTCATCTCAAGTAGATTAGCTGCTCAAGATGAAGCCTTACATTTTCATAATCAGTACCCAAATTACCCTGACCTTGTCTAATACTTATTTTTTAAAAGTGCATCTTATTTTATTTACCTGATAAAGTCCAACAATGATAAAGTTATTGAAAACTGAAGGTGAGTTTCCAGCTCTGACTGGCAATGAACAGAGGCAGAAAGAATTCCCTGTGTACAGACTTTGTCCATCCACACACATTTCTGGCAATGTTCCACACACTGAGCTTCAATTACAGGAAACTGGTAGGTGGGACTCTCCAAAACCTGTATCATTTTTTAAAAGCAATATAGAATATTAAGTCTTGCTGTCGAGTTAAGTAAGTGGCTAAGATACAGCTATAAAATTGTGTAAGTGCCTTTTATTTCAATTGATGTTTCTTGGACTATTTGGCGGGTGAACAGAGTCACCCTTTCTCAGCTCTCATCGAGGACATTAACATCTACCAAATGACACTAAGTTTAGAACAGAGATTTCTTTCACTACCCTTTAGGGTGTAATGGCCATACCACAGTATTTAAAGAAATGCACAGTATTTAGGAAAAAGGCATGACCATCACATTAAACCAAACACTTAAATGCAAGCAAAACCCAAAAAGTTCCAAGTGAATTTAAAATGTAACGGAAACAAAGTTTCTTACCTGAAAATATTCTGCTTCTTCAAACACTAAACTCACAGCATTAAGCGCAGAAGCGGTTTTATTTGAAACAAAAATGGTGAGCAACAGAGAGTCATCTGTCCACACCTTACATAAATGCAGAGCTAAGGCATCACTCTGACAAAGTTCCAGTACTTCGGAGTGAGTGAGGTCTTGTAACTCCTCTGGCAAGGAAGGGACCGAGGGTGTTTTACCGGCACCTTCACACTGAGCACTTGGAGAAGGCTGAAAAATTTCCATGTTACTGTCAGCAAACAAAGATGACTGTGACAGCCTACTATCTGAAAGTCTCTCATCCAGCCCAGATTTTTTTAGAGACTGAGGCGTTTCAAATGCTAAAGTTTCTTCTACAATATCTGAAGAACACAGAGAGGATTTTCTTAACCTCGTGTGTGTATTTCCCTCGCAGTCTTCCACGTTAATAGGCGCAGTATCAAGTAAGGGACCAAAATCTGAAGCAGCACTAATTTGGAAGTCTGACACCTCCTCGCTACTTTGAGTTTCATTTATCTTTGATTTTCTTTTGAACTTCTGAGTAGTTGTGTCCACTTTCCCCATCTGAAAATGAAAAACAAATTTTTAAAAAAGGCTGGTGAAGCTTCTAGCAATCAGCTGTGTTACTGTCAACAGCATGAGCAAGGACAAATAATGACCAAGGAATCACTTCAGATGACACATGCAAATAGATTCCAAACATTCCAAGGGATCCAGAAACATGCTGCTGTTGTATTTCTTACAGGATATGGGATTAGCCTGTAATGCAAGGATGACTCTAGGTTCTCTAAAACATAAACTAAAAGCTCCTATCAAAAAGAAAACATAGGGAAACATTTTCTGGTTAAACCAGTGGTAAGATTTGAGCTGGCTGATATGCTAATGCCGGTCTTAAAAGAATTACCTAAGGGTGAATTCTTCAATGCTCTGCATATTATCGTACATTAAAAAAATGGTCTTGACATAGGGTGTCGAACTCTAGCATTACTGCAAGTGAACACCAATAGCTCTGCAAAGCTGGGTCGAGGAACAGCTGCTAGGGGAGACTGGGACTAAAACTCTGAAGCGCAACATATAAACAGAGGGGAGTTCTAGTTACTCAATCAGTAATATCCCACCCATTTCAGGTTCTTAACAAATTATCAGATTACAAAAGTGATTTTCAAGTTTTTCCAATGACTCAGTTTTTACCTCAACGCTAATTTGATCTTCATTTACAATTGCAGCTATTCATATATAAATAAGGCAATACATAAACTTTAAACCAGTAAGTCTCAAAAGAGCCACTTACCAGACTGACACCAGTACTCGATCCCAGACCAATAAACAAAGTTGATGCTAACTGCTGCTTCTCTTTGTCCTCCTCTGAGAGGCTGGCAACTTGATCAGACTGCAAGGCAGGAGATTCACCCACCTGCCCTGCTAATAAGCTGCCACAAGAAAGAGTTTGTGGCTCGGTTTCTTTTCCTACTTTGTTTTCTTTCTTTGGAAGATAGCCTTCTTTTCCCCATAGCTTGCGTACTCCCTCAAGTTTCAGAGTATTTGTCCTAAAATGGCAAAGAAAACAAAGCAGGATCAACTGCATGAACATCCCGTTCCTAGAAACATACCAACACCCGACTTCAAACACCATTCACACCTTTAGTACTTTGAAATACACAGCAAGTAGTAAAATATAAACACTTTCACATCTGCATGCAGTTCTATGTTAGTAGTGTCATGCATTACTTTTAAAACACCCTGCAAATGCAGACTTGGCCTAAGCTATATAGTCCTAAGTACAAACCTATTTTAAGACAGCATTAGACACCTGCAGACAGTGGTAGACTGTGCTTGCCAAACCCAGTCAGAGTTTCAGATTACATTTAGAATGTATTCAAATCATTTTTTAAAAGTGAATCTATCTTTCTCCCTGGGAGATTCTGTTAATAGTTCTATTCGGTTAAATAGTTCTATTGCTTTTCCTTAAAAAATAGTTTAAGTTACAGCAAGAGACTGAAAATTAGAAGAGACCTAGAACGTGGTATTTCTTACAAAAAACCTTCATGTTCTCAAACCCCTGAACTCTAGGTTCATTCAACAGACTCGGGCTGAAATGCTGCAAGTCCTACACCTAAAAGCCTCACTTAAGTTTTCTTACACCAACTGCTTAACGAATCTGAAAACGCTTCCAAGGTTTCCTGCGTACTAGGATACAGTTATTAATTTGTACGAAACCATGGATGTGGAATTTATCTGTAGTGTTCTAAAACTTAAGGAGTATCTGTGAATCTTAGCCTCACTTCTATCCAATAGTTTCCTTAAAAGGTACATTATTGTAAGGTCATAAAACATTAAGCACAGCCTGTAAGAAAAATAAGGAAACCAGAGGAAAAAAAAAACCAAAAACTTAATCATGCAATCATCAAGTAATCCTGTCCCAATTTTACCACGTTAGTAATGTCATACATTACTTTTAAAACACCCTCCAAAAGAGCCAATTTTGCCACGTTGTGAAGAAAGTGGAAAAACAGTGTAACTGCAACAGCATTGTTCTAGTTATTTCAAAGATGACACCATTTCAATTTCTTTTTACATGCTAAGAGGTTTCCAAGTCCAACTGCATTCTTTTTAGTTCCACGTAATGAAGAAGCAAAGACACATGATACCGACAAGAACAGAGGCTGAAATGCACTTCGTTTCAAACAAATTAACTCACTCTTTGTGCCCTGTCTCAGCACTATTACCAGAGGTATCAGAACCAAAAGATAAACCAGTGGGCGACTGTCTACCGGTGACACCAGATGAGGACACGCTTGAAACAAATGACAATCCATAAGGTTCAAAATTCAGAGCTGCAAGACAGACAATCTTAGAATTACAATGAGGCATAAAAAGGTAATCAAGAAAACTATTTTCTGAAAAATAAGATATGCTGTAGGGTTGCACTTCTCAGGCTTTCCATTCAGGATCCTAACCTCGTTAAAAATGAATGTTTCTGGTCTCAAGTTTTTTAGACATAGGATTTATCTGAAGCGTGTATTCATTTGGTATTTTAGATACCACAATTAAACAGAAATAGTGATTTTACAGCGTATCACCGAAACGTCTGACAATGCTTAGCACCTGTAGAGAGAAGTACTGTATTGGATCTAAATAAGTGAGCTTTTGCATTTGTTCATAAGCCTATAAACAACATCGAGTCCACAGCATTATGTCCATACATCACTGTCTGCTTCGCAAACATACTTGAAACCTTGGGTGATAAATCATTTTCACCAGAACTTGCAAACCGGGATTCAGAACCAGCCACCTTAGTTACATTTCATGAATCAAAATGTAGCTTGAATAGCTTCTAAAAATTGTTGGACTATAACGTAAGCAGTCATTGTTACATATGAAACAGAGTGCAGACTCTTCTTTGCATCCCTCCTTAGGCTTTACACAGAAAAAAAAACAGTATAGAATATTCAGTTCTAACATAATTCAACCTGGTTCAACATTTCTCCACCAAAATTTTGAATTTTCTAGCAGGCTTAAAGTATGCATTAACCTGCACACTCAAAAAAAAAAAATAATCTTCTTTTAAAAATAATCCACAGGGAAGACTAAGTGCTCAGTATAGTAAAGTCAGGAACCATTTGCTTTCACTTTAATAATCACCATAAATTTCAGATCCCATAGACCAGCAGAGATTATAGTAAAACATTCTCAGCAGAAAAGCAACCTATGATAAATGAACAGCTACATATACCAGCTAGACAGATCTGTAACTAAATTCTAAATTAAAGTCTACAGACAAGAAATGCATTAAGATAACATTACTTTAAGAAAGAATATGAACAGTACACTTAGAGTGTTTGTTAATACTTATCGGGCAATTTACCAGCTATTTAATAAGTGCAGTAAACTAAGTGTCACCTTTTTCCTGAGAAAGTTTCTCCTCTTGTCTCTGGTGATGAGGTTTATACGGTGCTGCACCACGACCAAGTCCCTCAGCCACAAACCCATCCAGAAAAGACAAGGAAGCATCTACCTAAATGGGATTAAACAAAGTGAGAAAGCGAGAAAAATATTTTCTATACCTGAGCCTGATGTTACCAGAAGAACATTGTGTCTCATCCACAAACCAAGATCTTCTGCCTCATTTCCCATATCTACCAGTATATCTGCTGTATTATCAAAAATTATTAAGCAAGTATGTTGAAACAGACTTTGAGCTAGAGATTTGTAACTTAACTCCTCCACAATTTTTTTTTAATGTGAACAAGAAAAAAAATCAGAGTGGAATTTTCCCAAAATGGTTCATCCTACCGTGATATGAAAATACTGAATTAAAAATACCCCCCTCAAAAACCTCAGCAATATCAGTAATATTTTCCATTATTTATTATGGACATTTCAGTGCCAAGATCAATAGCTCTTAAACAGGAAGCAAATCCTCTGAATTAAAAAGCAGTACCATATCACTAAAGCAGGCCTAACTTGTCTTTAAAAACCAGAAAAATAAACCAGCATATGAAACAGTAAGTTTGTTAAAAGCTACTCCAGCTTACTAACTAAACACCATGGTTCTTTCACTTTCAGTATAGAACAGTATGATTCATCACATATGCCTGAAAAAGCCTGTTTCTGGAAACTGACTTTAAGCAGACTAGAACCTGGCAACAGTCAGAAGAGTCAAATATTCATTTTGAAAATACTTTTTTACTAAAACATTCGACCCCTCGAACTGCAAATAGGATTTGTGAAGATTAAACATTGCAGCTGCCTCACCACCATGTCACTGCAACTAGCATCAAAGGGAAGCAAGGTTTTCATCAGTGCTTTGTCTTCACACAGATGCTTCAACTCGAAGGCATACTGTCTCATGCAGGTATCTAGAGAGTTGCTGAATTCTTGGATTAGTTCGTCAACTGTTTTGGAACAGGAGGTACGTGATGCTATCTTGGTGACTGCAGCCATTATCCACACTTTAGTTTCAGAAGTAACAAAGGTCTTCTTCAGCAGACTGTGTAGTTTTGTCAAAATAACTTCTGGATCAACATCTGTAACAAGGCTGGAATATTCCCCCAACACCTATTCACAAAGAACAGACAAAACATGCATGTAGTCACGCAGAGCAGCACTTTCAGTTTTGAAATTGGAATGTAGTACTAAATAGCAACACAATAAAATCCACCTCACATTCAACAATCTGTTATTTAAACACATTCTAGATTATTCCTTCACCATTTTGTGGTTTAAATGTCAAGGGCTTGAAGTGACCTTTGTGTTTACTCACACTGCAGCCTGTTCCTTGGGTGGAAGCTGAAGCTTACCCAGGTACCAGACAATACTAGCATAGCACCTGGCCAGCCACCTGCGAGGCTAAAAATGGATTTCACAACCACATCTGGCCTAGCTCTGATGAAGACAGAAAGGCTCTCAGCACGCAGTCAGGTTCATGTGGCTGCTAAACCATTCCAAGTCACCTGCCTCAAAGGGAGCAAGTCAGCTTTTCCACAAACCGTGGCAAGCTAAGCAGTCTTTGGGCACCAAGAGGTCACTAAGAATAGATTTCAGCATATTATATTGACTTCAAGTAAGAACAGGATATTCATGACTAAAAATAAAAGTTAAAAACCTTTAAACAGTTTCCTCATATCTGCATATTCCATTTTGCCCATGCATCTACCTTACCCAACTCATAACTTGAAGGAATTTCTGTGGATACAACGCATCTTCCTCTTCAAGTAATGCTAAATAAGACTGTACTGCATACATCTGCAGCTGGTCATCTTCTTTTCCATCATCAAACCCTAGAGAGAAAACAATACATACTCTGCCTGAAACGCAAATAACACCTCGCATCAAATATTTCAAAGTGCATTTAAAAAAAAAAAAGCGCCAGATGATTAAGGAACAGGTCTAACTCTTCAGAGCATTCCTTGCGTTACTCACCGTCAGCCAACAGTCTCAGGAAGTTGTTTGGGATATCAGGATGCACGACGTCACCTCCAACTGAAAACACAGCATTCATCGTCTGGATGAACCACTCGTTGTCAGGGGCATATGTGTCCAGATGTTAAGGAATGAAGTGCTAAGGCATAACTTCTCCTTTCTTTTTTAGTGTGTTTCCTAAGGAAAGTGTCCATAAATAAGCTACCCATCTTGTTTTCCTCAGTCAGCTGGGGCCTGATGCTCAAATATCAGCTCAAGCTAACTGAAGAGGAAATATTCCTGTACCTTTTATAAAGTGTTTCCTGTAATCATGATGAAAACTGGGGCTCAAGCAGAGAAGCCTTAAGTTACTGCCCTGTTGAAAAAGCCTGTGCATCAACTTAACAGCTACCCATTCTGTGTAATTTGCTGGCTTCTCAACCAATACATCTTAAATTGTGCATGAATGTTATAGTGAAAAATAAAGAGTTTAAACAGACATCACGCAGTAGGAACAGACACGTTCACACAAGGATTTAGCTCTGGAAACTTGCCCTGCTGTATATTTTCAGTTCACACTTGTTCCATGCTAGCTTTCCAGCATAATCTTTCATTTACCCAGTACCACTTGATCAGTGATAGACTAGCAGTTCTTTTTAGCAGTGTTTTGCTGTCGATGTACTAAAAACAATAGATTTTTAAATACTCCACAGAAATTAGCATTGGGTGTTTGTATTTTTTTTTATATACTTAAGATTTGATCAGCCTTTGCTAACTTTGAAAGTTAGCTTCTGCCTTCCTGAATGGAAATTTTCAACAGTACAGAAATTTCTGCACTTACCAAATGGAAATTTTCAATACAGCTTTTTTGTACACTACTGTCTGTGCCAAGCAGTGTACAAACAGGATGGTAAGGCAGCTCTCTGTTGTAGCTTACACTCCAATTTTCAGACAAGCATACAGAAAATCAGGCAATGGCAAGTCTAACAGCAATGTCCACCAGATCCAAATCCCTAATCAGCACTTTTTGGCATAGTCAAAAGGATCTTTTATGTATTGAAAGTGTGTTATTCTTAAAACCCATATACCAACGAAATGCTCTCCCAATAGGAAGATCACTCCCACAATTACAGAACAGCACTCAATGTAGCACTGAGGCACCTCCATGCAATATGTCAAAGTTTTCATTTAAAAACAAGAGGTTTTAATACTAAACTCCAAAGCCAAGTGTTTTGAGTGCCATTACTTTCTCTCTGTGAAACGCTGTGGTCACTGCTGTACGCATTTTCTTCTGTAGGTTTTTTTCCATTGGAAAGCATGGAAAGCACAGCTGTAACACCTCCTCCTTCAAAAGATCATGAAAGATGCTTTGAAAGGTATGAATGTTACGTTTGCCTGAGCTCTGACTCCAAAGTGTCAGAAAAACAGAAGGATATTTCTCAGCTAGTTCAGAAAAACAAAAGGATATTTCTCAGCTAGTTCAGAAAAACAAAAGGATATTTCTCAGCTAGTTCAGAAAAACAAAAGGATATTTCTCAGCTAGTTCAGAAACAAAAGGATATTTCTCAGCTAGTTCAGCTATTTTGCCAACTAAGTTGATGATAGCATATTCTTCTTTGCTTTCTTTTAAGTAGTCAAGCATCTTCTGAACTATGACAATGACATTCTGCCCATTTGTAATTCTATAGAGAAGCTCTAAAGTCTGAAAGAGAAAGCAAAAAAATTGTATTTAATTGGCTCTGATGACTCAAAAAAGGAAACAGGCAAACAGTAGCAGTTGTGTATGATGCCAAATTGAGCAACTGTATTTGGCAAGTCTTAAATGAAATACACTGCTTATCTGCATATGTCGTCACATTAATATTATCTCTAACTGATCTCTCACAATATCTGAGACACAGTACGCCTTTACGGCACTCATTTTAGAAAAATCACCCATCTTAAAAATTAACTTAATTTTTGATGTTTAAAAATTCACTGACCTCCCTTTTAATAATGGGATCTGGATGGTCCAAACATTCAATTATTGTCATTTGGTGCTGAAGTGCCAGATTAGGATCCTGCTGGATCACGTAGGTCAGAGCCTTTAAACCTAGAATGTAAGTAATTGGAAGGAATATAAGAGAATGGATACTGCTATGACCAAATTAAAAACATCTCCATGAAATCAGGTATCCTTACCTAAGTATTTCAAATTAATTTTGGGTGACAAAACAAATTTTCCAATGCACTTGGCAGCCTTTTCAAGTAGTTCAGATTTCGGATGAATTGTATAAATTGTTTGGACACATTCAAACAAGATGGCTGGAGGGGAAGAGCGGGGGAAAAAGACATGTAATTAATGTGTATTAAATACTTTTATAATGCAAAAATTTTTAATAAGCAAACTCATTGATTGTATTGAGGACTGCAGTGCTGTCTCATCCCCACTGAATCTAACCGCAGTGTGCCTACTGACATAAGTAAAAACAAAATGGAAGACTACCTCTTACTATATACATATTTTTTATTAGGCTTTGCAGTTGTGCATACAACCTTCTGTCCTTAAAGTTCTTCCAACCTTGAAGTCTCCCATAGCTGCTCAAGGAACTGGGCTAGGATTGTCTTTAGAAAGCCAATGGGCAACCATAAAGGATCCGAGACAAAATATTTTTCAATTAATTCATGATTTCTTAGCTACTACCAACAGCCAAAATCATCCAAAGAACATTCTTACTTTAATAAAACCAACTTTATGCAGTTGTTTGAGAAAAAGCTACAAGTAAACTTCAACAACACATTGAAAGTAATTAATCCTCTGCAGCAACAATTCAGGCAAAGGTTTGGACCAAGTTACTCCTCCTGAGTAAAATCATGATGTAATTTTCAGTTGTTCTTGTACTTCAATCTCTAAATTACCCACCTACTCTTCTTAAGCATTACAAAACTAAATCTGAGAAAGACTAACTACTCAATTTCCTAGAAGAAGCAAGAAAGATGCAATAATGAAGGACTTTGTGTAAGAAAGAGCAAATCACTCAGAGTTGCATTGTTTTGTCTGGGATCATCAATGAAGGTTTATAAATGTGAACAAAACTATAAACCTAAAATATATGTCCTTGTATAAATCATAATATACCGCCCATTTTGGCTCCTTAAGTGCTTAAAACAGATTTAATGTTTAACTCTTAGCAACTGCAAGTGCAAACTGTCTGCATTATAAGGCAACACACCTCCCGGTATCTTGTATGTTCTTGCCTAAAAGAATAAAAGCAATACACTGAATACACTAAACATCTGACAGATGCTTCTTCATTTATTATTTACCGAAAAAAAATCTCCCTCAAAGCTCCCCTTTTTAGTGCAAGTGAAGCTTACACAATGCTTTACACAGTATCTGTCAAGTAGGCATTAGAGCTCTGGGCCATGTTCCTCTCCCCCCCTCTCAGTGGTTGGTTGGTTTTTTGGGTTGTTTTTTTTTGGGGGGGGGTTGTTGGTTTTTTTGGTTTGGGGTTTTTTGTTTTTTTTTTTTTAGAAGTCTCAATTTTCTTTCCATTCCATTAGCACAGGTACTTTGGCAACACCTATGAGGCTCTACTGTAACAAAATTATGGGAGCTTTTAGGATTTTTTAATAGTGAAGCAGCTCTTAATGTAGAGTTCTAAAACATCAGATCTGGATGTTTGGGGAGGTATTAAGACCTGGGGAGGGGAAGGCAAAGAAAAAAATCCAAATAAATTGCTTAACTTTTATTAGAAAAAATTTCATGGTGCAATTATTCCTTTTGCTTTGTTTGAGCAACAAATACAGCTTTCTCTGAGAACATAATGGAATTAACATAGCCAGCTACCATTTCCTAGAAAGTTTAAATTGAGATGTGTGTCAAGCCCATTTTTTTGCAGGCACCACTATCACTGAATCCTGGAGGTGTAATTTTATTAACTGCATATTTACTGGCTGCAGGAAAAGCCCTTTACAGCCCTGTAGAACTGTTGCTGTCACTCTTGCACACTTTTCATTGCCTTTCTCAGGCCAGGGAAAAGAAGATTTAAGCATTTCTAATAAGCTAACTGTATCACTAGGTTTTTTCTTTTATCTTTTTTTTCAACTTAAGCAATGTTCAGTAAGAGTTTTCGGGAAGAAGCTGAGGGCAAAAGACAATGCAAAGATTTTAAGCTTTTGAGTCAAGATGAATTCCCAGGAAATAAAAATGTTTTACTTCAATGATAAAAAGTTGCACTGTACAGCAACACATTACTTGTTTTACAATTTACTAGTTAACAACAGTATTCTTAAATGTCCATTAAGAATATAATTAGGTTTTTCAGAAATACTGCGTAAGTAGTTTAGCATGATAAACTACTCACATTTTCAACCTTTCCAAATACTGATAATTACATAAAATAGCCACACTCACCATATGTAATATTATGATTTATCTCTGCTCTTCTTAAAGATTCATCTAAAACATCATACATCAATTCACTTGTCCTGTTTAAAAAAAAAAAAAAAAATCAATCTGTATCACCAACAAGCATGTAGCCTTATTTTGCCAGACAGCTCAAACACTAGTATAGAAATCTGTAACAAATTATTCACATCCACATATGTGCTTTAATAACATGGCAGAGCTCTATAACATGTTTCTAAATGGCAGCTAACAAGATGTTTTTATTCTTGTGATGTGGCAAATGTTTCTTCTGAAAGCTGCAAACGCTTCCCTCACTGCTTGTATAAAAAAAACCCAAAACATCAACAGTAAAAGGATCAAAGACAACCAGGTCCTCACAAAACAAAGTATCTTTACTCCAAATTTACACACATTGTTTGGTAACCTAGTAACAGAAGTCCTAGCAAAAATATATTTCAAGCATATTCCACAATAATCAATTGTTTAGCCCATCCAGAACCTAGGGAATTAATTCTGCAGATTAAAAATTATCTGGTCACTGTACTGGTTAACAACAAATAAAGAAGTTTAAAGAAGTTCAACACTGAAATCCTCTTATAAAAACAAAACAAAGCTGTCTATGAGGTATACAGGTCATGACTGTATTCTTTTTTCCTTCTGAATATTAACTACAGAGAAATATCTAGTTACCTTGGATCATCTTTTCCTAACAGCCCCAATATTCTTAAAAGCTGAATTTGTAACCATGGTGCTGGCACGCTGTGATAGTTGAAGTCGACAGGGAGCTTTCCTCTCACTACCTGCTTTAGGATAGTTACAAAACTCCCAGTCAAGTCCTTGTATCCAGATGGGTTTTCCTACATAAGGAAAAAGAAATACAATTCAAATATTTTGATACAGCACCTCAAAAGTAAAAATAATCCACAGCTGGCATAAGATCAAAATACCTACACCGATGGTTTCATTTCTTTAAATCAAACTTCTCATCCCCAAACATCTGTAAGCTCTTCACTTTAAACCTATGCTATTTTCTCACACATTTGCAAAGGGAGTGAATGTAACTTGAAGGCAACAGTTAAAAAAAAACAAACCCACACTCCACAAATTTCAGCAACCCCCTGAACACACTGTAAAACTTAGAACCTCTAGCTAAGGATGCCAATAATGCTGAGCATTCAGATCATGCCAGTGGGTATGTCAAGCTACACTGAGAGCCAGCACAAACACACACAACGCAGATAATCATGATCACATAAATTAACTTTTCTAACGATTACAAGTGAGTTTCTTCTGCAGAATTTCTGTACACTGCATTTAAAAAAACCCACAAATATTGCTCCTAATTCTTTGCCTACCTTAATCATTTGAAGATAAATATGCAAAGAAGCAGCCATGACTCCAGCGTCCCTGTCACATAAGGCTTTCCGGAACTTATCATGAATATGCTGAACTTGGTTCGGTGCAATGAGATAGAATTTATATAAAGCTTGAACAGCTTTTCTTCGGATAATTTCCCTAAAGAGAAATGAGATTCACACAGAACAAATGAAGCTGCCTGTCTATTTGAAATACTTAACAAAGCAACTTGGGTTTGTTATTTCTACAGCAATGTAGAATTATGTTGCCAGCAATCAGAACTTCATGATTTGGAGAGAGATGAGAACACGTTTTACACATTTGATAACATATTTCTTTGCAAATACCATCTAAGTGAGGATGTGACAAAGCGAACTTAAAAGCATAGTAGGGCTTGACAGCAGATTGACAACTCAGAAGAATGGCCACCAAATAAACAGGGAAATTGGCCAGTGCTAATCTGTTGTGGCCACGTGTGCAGCTCCAGAAACCACCTGTCTAGGAGTCACAGAATTAGTTCATTCTGCAGTTCCCTCTGTAATCAACACAACACTTTATGATGTTAGCCTCTGTGAATGGGGTATTATAAATTAAGAATCAAACAATGCAAGGGTATTGGTATCTGCAGATACACTTCTAGCAACAAAGTTTCTATAAACAGCTTTATAGAAAAAACTATCAGTAAAGGATCACGGATCTTTATCTGCTTCTCCACTCACTCTACAAACACTTCTTCATTCACAAATTTGTAAAAAGGACTCCAGCAGATAAATTCAGTTACATTTACTTATCACAACCGGTTATGGAAAACTTAATACCTGTCCAACAGTCAGTCAAGACTGCAAATGAATGAGACAAGAATCCAAGAGAAAAGATAGGAAAGGACAAATTTCTGAGGTAACGATTAGAAAAAACAACTCAGAAAAAAACACCACTTTACTAAAACTACCTACAAAGTTAAATAATTCAACCGTACAACGCCACTTGAAATTCTGTAGATGAACACATACTTAGAATGCTGGAGCTTGTCTTCTATTAGGGGAAGAACAGCTGGAATCATCTCCCGTGGAAAGATCTGGCTGACAATGGTTAAAGCCATGCACACCTCTACTAGATTAGTGCTCTGTAAATCCTGTCACAATCATTGAAATAAGACAGTAAGTTTTTGTTTAGACTTCTAAATTCTGCACAGACATACCCCAAATCTTTCCCAAGCAGTCTGGATCTAGCCCACCTACAGCAAGCACCGTGCTGCCAGGTGTCCTGTTGTCTGCTCGTGTTTGAGAAGTGTCAGCTCTCACTGAGCTCATCGGGTTCTTTTATCTCTTATACAGGAAGAAGGAACAAGCAGCTTCTCACATGTGTGTTACAGAACTACATTTGTATTTTAAACATCAGCGAGATTAATAAATAAGAGCTCCAATCAATGTTTACTTCAATAGTTTGATGATTGCAAAACTATGCTGAGTTCCTAGTTCAATCAGTGAGATGAGTCACTTCTCACAGAATTCAACACTATTCTCTCTAGTGACTTTGATCTAGCCCAAAGAATTAAAAAAGAACAAGCTTAATTATACTGCCAATTACATATCTGTACACTAAAATGAGACATTACCTACTCCCTAAGAGCAAATGCAAATTACACACAATGTTCTACAAAAGAAAGAATAAAAATTCACAGTCTGTCCCAAATATAATGAAAATAGCTGATATAGCTCACTGTAATCTTAAATTAAAAAAAGATGGATGAATTCATGAAATACAAGACTAGAATTATTTTTCAAAACAAATGAAACACGTAAGATTTCCAGCTGACATGATTATTTGCTCTGGCCATTTGTCCCAGATAGGTTTTAGTCCTCATTTTGGTTTAATTCCTTATTCTCATTTTTCACTTCTTTTTATATACTTAGTGGTTTCAAGACAGCTTTTTAAAGACTATAAAACAGGTTTTAATTGCAACAAAATAAGCATCACTTTCAGTCTATAATTTATGTGACTTTGGTCTATTGTAATATAAAAGCAATCATTACACAGAAAGTTATGTCATAACTGCTCCATGTAAAAGATAGTAATACAGGAGATTACATCTATTTATTAGGTAATAGATTTTCAACGTCACTCCAAAGCGTATTTCCACTTTCTATCAATTATCAAAAGATACTTGCTGTCAGCTAAAAGCAAAAATTTACACTGAAATATGCATGCCTGGCTCCTCCTGGAGTTGAAAATGATTGGTACATTTTATAAACAAAATACTATGGTGTATCTCCTTTGAGAAAATTTAAAAATAGGGCTTCAACAGCAGGAATGCCAAGATTAAATTTAAAAGCCAGGGAAAGCCATTTCAAATTTTCATTGTTAACTGAAGAAACAGCAACCTAAAAGAGCAAGATAAATCTAATGAGTACATAGCTTAGATGCTGTGTGACACAGAACAGGAAGAATTGGTCCAAGTTTAGTTTACCTCCAGCCCTCCAAAAACACTGTACCTTCACAACGGTGTTCACAAGTAGAAGTAGCAGTTCGTGATTTTCATGTAGAAATAAAGAAACTGCCAAGTAACCTATAAAAGAAAGCAGCCTCCATTACTACTTTCAAGCAGTAAGTATCTTCACGATAGAAAACTTAAGACTGTCTGTAATACAAGAAAAGTTAACTCAGTTACAAAAACCCAACAAAAAACCCCACTGTTGGATGACAGTTGCTCGTGTTTTAAATATCGAGCAGACAACCTTCTTTTATTTCCAGGCAAACCAGTTATATTTAAGTTGCAGTAAAGCTCAACAAATAAGCGCTAAGAATTCATAAGCTGTGAGAAATAAGAGACATTACAATATTGTTATAAAAGCAGTCAAGAGCGCCATGCAAAGACACTTCCTGGAATACTAGTATCTTCTCTGCACAGAGAGAAGTGTATTGCTGCTAGACTAGACAACACAAATGCACTTCTTCATATCTGTTTCTTGTTTTTAAAAAAAAAGTTCAATTTCAAATAAATTTTATATTTAACTTAGAATACAGAAGGGTAAATTCACCATCCTATGCCAAAAACTCCCTTGTTCTTTCTTAACAAGGAAGAAACAATTCAAGAACTCCAGGAAAGAAACCTGCCAGAAACTTTTTTCTTCAAGACCTCTCTTCCTTTTAAACTAAAGGACTTAAAAGCATAAGGGGTAGGGAGGGCATCACAACTCATGACAATATTTGTATTATGGAGATGGGTCTTAAAAAACATCTTGGTTCATTCAGGGCTTGGGGATCAAAATGAGGAACTCCGATACAAGTAACTGTATCATCTGGGCTGTCAGATTGATATATCCGCTTGTAAAACCACAGACTTGATCAGCTTAGCACACCTGCAAAAATGGAGCTCGCTCTCACTCACTCAGAGGCTCACATTGGTTAAAAGAGTAACCCATCTTGATTGGGTCAACTGACAATTCCTTAATACACACCTTGGAACTCTGCACCAAAACCAGACAAGGTCATCCTCATATATCACATATAACTGCAGAACAACAACCACCCAACCCTCCCGCCCATCCTTTTACTAGACCAAAGCTTAAGGGCGCTTTGTGTCCAGAGAACTTTAAGCCATCTGCATTTAAAAATAAAAAACAACCAAACAAAAATGCTGCTTCACCAAAGACTTCTTAAAAAGAGCCCGAGCATGGAAAGGTCTCAAACCAGTTAACAAGAAACATTGGTTCTTGACACTTACAAAGGTCACAAAGTTTTCTTCAAAACAGCTTACCACCTGCCCTCCCAGGCTTGGTGAAGACAATTTCTTAATCCCTACCAGAGCACCTGTGCACTGGCTTTCATTACTCGGGGATAAAGCAACTTTAAATCATCACTCGTAACGCATTCTCTCAGAAACTCCAATACTTCAGTAGATGATCCAGATGAAATTCAAACAAAGGATATCAAACAAGCATATCCCGCAAGACACTGCCTTCCTTCTGTGTATGCAGACATAGTATTGCTTGGAGTTAAACCATTTTCTCTGCAAACAAGAAGAAATGTCTTCACTACGCAGTTGAATCAGCAACTGCAAGGAAATTCTCCAGACGAGACAGGCTGACAGCTACTTCAAACTCCATCTACTGGAAACAAGTTAATAGCCACACTAGCAGGCAAGGAAATCACAACAGCATGAAATTTCTAAGAACTAGCCTTTCAGATTTCCTCAGGAACTTCTGCACCTATGCTATAGGGATCTCCCTATTTGCCTCATTTCCTACAACTGTTTCTAAACTTTAAAAAAAAAAAAAATCCTACTAGCACCAAGCCAGAAAATATTTGTCTGATAAGCGTCTGACATCAACATCTTTGTCTAATCGTGTCCTACAGTACTTAAAGAAATCAGATCCTGATAAACTCATTTTCAGCTTGATTTGTTTTTTAACAAAATTTCTCATAATTACTTGTTTATTGGTGCCACAATCAAAACAAGTGAAAGAACCGATTTAATATAAATCAAATTCCCCTGCCTTCTGTTCTACAAGCAGATACAGAACAGATCACAAACTAGGGATTTAATTATCTTTAGAGGAGAGACTATGAAACAAGACAAAGAAAGCAGAAGAATATTTTAAGTCAGTTGTATTTTTACATGAATTTACATTAGGATTTACATAAATCCTAAGAAACCTTAAAAATACAGTTTGAGAATATTAAGGCTACAGCTCCATGCACATACCAACTCTTTTCTCCAAAAGGTTTCCTTGCTGTGCAAGCTTGATTGCATGGATATATCCAAAGGAAGACTCATACCCCAGCATTTCACAATAGATGAGTCTCACCATACATTCTTTCATCAGTCTCTGAAACACCAAAAACGAATTATTCAGAATTTTACGTCAGCTACGTTTTATGCTTTTTTTCTCTGCTCTAATGAAGTAGAGGACTTTATCTGATAGAAACATACGTACATTCACACATGTTTTCTAAAATCAGGGTACTTGTAACTTTTCCTTTGCTATAAAACTCTCCTGAGAGCCAGTATTAGTTTTTGACTGTAAGAGCAGAACTCCCCATACGCTATCTTTAAAGATGCTATCTTGTTTTTATCAGCATGCACGTGATCAACAGTAGATTACAATTAACACAGAAAATATGAATTATCCAAAATGTTCGATGATCACACTCCTCATGCAAATTGTTACCAGTCACTACACTGACCTAGGATGGGTTTTCACTACGCGCGAGGTAAAACTATTTTTCCCTTCACAAATTCTCACTCGTGGGACTGAGATATGCATTAACTAACTCAAACCAGAATGTATCAACTCCTGCAACTCAGACACCAGCAACAGTGGATACAACAAAGCACAGCTTCTCACACAACACAACTAAGAACAAAACCAGCGTGCAAATAACATGATTTGATGGAAGCAGTTCATCACCTATCCCCTTTCTGGTCTCCATTTATATCAGAAACTACAGAACGGCTGACTCTGGGCACCACATGTCTACGGTTTATTCACACCAGAATCACCGTGTCCTCACTATTTTAACCATGCTACAAAACCTTTAACGCTGACAATTAAATAGCTATAACGCAGATAACTTGTACACTCCACCTGGCAAAAAGAGTGTGAACACTGTTTTTCTCCACCTTTGCTGTTCCCACAGCCTGTAGCCACTAACAGAACTTACAAGCGTCGTGGTAGGGGCCGAAACTGTCGTTTTCAAACTGGTTAGCTCCTGCTGGATTAATTTTTCTTCTTCCTAGAAAAAATAAATTTATTTCAATCTGGCATAAATTCTGGAGGCAAAAATATAAAGCCAAAGTCAAAGACCCATCCGTTAACAGTACCGGGGGGGTCTTCCCAAAGCCCGCGTACACCTCACTCCCGCGGCAGCAACCGCCGACTGCTCGCCTCAGGCCCTGAAGGCAACGATCGCTCCGCGGCCGCGCTGCCCCGCACCGCGCCCCGCACAAC